CCCCCCCCCCAAGAGTCAATACTGCTAGACACAAGTAGGAGTGCAAAGTCTGACGCCCCATGGATGCAGCCCAGAAGCAGGTTGTTCCTTCTCTCCTGGCTGCACAAAAAATTCCCCTCAACATTCCTCTCGTGGGCTCTGCGGCTGCCAGGTCACCCTCCGAAGGAGATGGCACTGGAGATTCAGGGCCTGGGCTGGGACTGTTCCCCTCCTCTTGCTTCTATCCTGCTGTGATCAAGGCAATAGAGAAATTTGCCTCACGGGGACCAGCTGCTTCAGCAATCAGGGGGGTTTCATTTGGGTCTGAACCACCTGTCTGAACTGAACAGCCAACTGCAGGACAACCAGAGTCCTTGGTGTTGAGCCAGGAGGGGAAGCACCGTGTGGAGAGAGGGAGGTGGATTGGGCCCACCTACACTGACCAGGAGCAGACACGGCCCAGGCCAGTCTCAGCCAGCTCCCGACATACATTTGCAGCTCGAAGCAAGGTCATGACACACAAATGAGGCCACCAAGCCAAGCAGGAGGCTTGGAGTCAAGCTGCTGACAAGGGACAGCCTGGGCCCAGGAACCCAATCAACAGGAGAGGCCCTGTGGCTGGGGCATGAAGAGGGGGTGGGAGGAGGCAGCAGCTTGGACCTCAGCACTCATGTTGCAAGGAGGCTACAGCAGAGAGGAGCTGAGCTGGGCAAAGAACTCCTCCGCTACCCAGCACTGAGGATTAGTACCTTGCAGGCTGAGGAGAGGCTCCCACCATTAGCACCAATTTTTGAGAGTCGCTGCGCTGAAATACTGAGTCCTGACCCAGCTCCATGCTGAGCTGAGTGGCCAGGAGCAAGGCAAGTGTGCAGGCAGCGGAGTGCCCAAGCCAACCCACACAGGGAGCAGCCCCAGGCTGGGTGGCCAAGAGACACTGGACAGGAAACTGCTCCCTTTCACAGGCCCTGCAGCCTCCAGGCTGGGTCTGAGAGCAAAGCTTTGGCCCTGGCTGCCAACAGCTACAAACAGGAAAGGACACTGCAACAGGGCAGCATCTCCTGCAGGGTGTTTGAATGAGGTTTCCTTCTTGCAGGGACAGGCCGCACGCTTCATACACAGCTGTAACACAGGTAGCTCCTGCTTCAAACCCTCCATGGCCGAGGGAAAGGGTCCTCCAGCCCAACAGAGCAGCACAGGGACCCATGCCAGTGCTCTGGGGTATACTTTTGGGTGCAGAGGTAAAAATACAGATAGGCAAGGGCAGGTCAGAAAACTAACTAGACACCAGGGCTCTATGCCCCAAATAAAATATCTACACTAGAGACCTCTCCCCTGCCCCTGGGACACTGAGCACACAAACACTGAAAGGAAAATGGTACCAACACAAGGAAAACCAAACAAATTTCCAGCCCCAAGGGGGGGAAGCCTCGGAAGGGCACCAGAGTCAGTCCGGGATCCAGCCAGAAAAGGGGTGCATGTGCACAGGGGCCTTGCTCAGCTGAGGTACCGTGTCTGCAGACAGAAGCAATAAGCCCTGCTCCTCAGGTCTCCTGCTCTCCCTGGGGCCCTTGCTGGGGCCCTACCCAGAGATGGCTTGCTACTGTCCTGCATGTATTGCTCTCCTGGGGTAAATTCTTGCCCTGAAGTCCATATGGCTCCACTGGAGCAGAAAAGCCAGAATGGGAAGAGAGGGGGTAGTTCCTAGGGCAGGACCTCAGACTAGATCCCTGGGCAGACAATGGGTTGGCTGTCAGCTGCTTTGTTCATGTATGCAGGAAAAGAAAACACTGGAAAAGCAAAGGCCTGGGAAGAAGAAAAATGAGAGGAAGACCCAGGAGCAGAGTAGAGACCCATTCAAACAAGAGCTAGGCCAGTGCAACAGCGCCTAGAGACGGAGACACAAACATTCAATCTAACCCACGGCATGGGGAACCACTGCCATGGGATTCTGTAGGCCAGCCTTGCTGAGCAACTGCAGGGGAGTAGCTATGGCCCAGTCCCACAACAGAGGAACCGGGGCTCTCCCAGTGCATTGCCTCTGCATGAGTCATGTGCTAGGCCAGGCCCATGAGCTTAGCAACAGTGATCTGCAGAGGAAGCTTTGAAGGAGAAACAGCTACCGTTGTCACCTAGTTTCCATATAGATCCACATGACCGGGGGGGGGAGGAGGTTAGCAAAACAGAAGTCTCCAACTCAATGCTCCTGACCCACACCAGGGGGCCAGGTGACAAGGAATACTCTCCACCCCCACGCCCCCCAGGGCCAGGTGACAAGGAACACCCCTCCTCCAGGGAAGTCCTCATGCCCCACTCATAGCCTGCAGGAGCTCACAGGGATCAGACAAGATCAGGAAAAGATTTTCTACTTGTTGGCACAAGTTGAAAGGTAGGAACACAGCAGCCATGGGCATCAGCCTGCAATGGGAACAGGGACATGGGTGCCAGGGCAAGGTTGTGAGCATGAGTGTGAGGGCAGGCATGGGCACCAAGGTGAGGGAGGGCATCGGTGCCAGGGTGGGGCTGCAAGACTGAGGGTGAGGGCAGGTACCGGACTCATGGCGGGCGGGCACAGGCATGGGCACGCATGCCAGGGTGAGCGAGGCCCCAAGTGTGTGTTCTACTGTGGTGGGCACGAGATCCTGGCTCCTCTGGTATCAACACCAGACTAAACATAAGGGGAGAGTGAAGCCTGGAGCACTCTGGGGTGAGTGGTGCCAGGGCCACCAACCTGAGGGTGAGGGCAGGTACCGGACTCATGGCGGGCGGGCACAGGCATGGGCACGCATGCCAGGGTGAGCGAGGCCCCAAGTGTGTGTTCTACTGTGGTGGGCACGAGATCCTGGCTCCTCTGGTATCAACACCAGACTAAACATAAGGGGAGAGTGAAGCCTGGAGCACTCTGGGGTGAGTGGTGCCAGGGCCACCAACGCCGTGAAGGGTGAGGCAGCCCTGGCTGGGAGGTGACTGCAGCACTGCTCTGGGGCACTGCTCCCTTGCTCCCTGCTCAGCCTCAGTGCAGCAGGTTGCCCTGCTCCTGGGCCTGTGTCAGGCTATCCTTGCGATGGAGATGGTGAACACCCATCCTCTTGGGGCTGCGGTGTGGCCGCCCTGAGGGAGGCTTGCTCCTGCATTCCCCGCTCTCCTCCAGGGCTCCCCCCGCTCTGCTCTCCTTGCTTGCTTGCAGTAGCATTTCCCTTTCCTCAGCCGGGCTCCCAGGTGAGCCCAGGTCCACATAGTCCTTGTGCTTCTCCGGTGGGGGGCTGCTGGGCTCAGCAGTGACTTCCGAGCCTCATCCTGGGAGAAGTCTGTGCCATAGTCGGAGGAGAAATGGCTCCTGCGGGCTCGGGACTCGTTGCTGTCTGTGTCCACACTTGAGTCCCGACTCACGGTCCAGCTGCAGCTCTGTGCAGACTCCTCACCGTCTGAGTAGGCCGAGGCTGCCCTGCCCAGCTCCAGCATGGAACGGCTGAATCGCTTCTGGAGCTCGGGCGCCATGTCACGGCTGAAGGAAGTGCGGCTCACCAGCACCTGCTCCGAAGTGGGGGGCTCCTTGTCCACAAACATCCGCTGCCAGTTGGCCAGGAGGTCCTCCTCCGAGCTGGCCGAGCTAGCAAAGGCGCTGGGGATCTGGGGTGGGCTGCTGAAAGGGCTGCTTTGCGAGGAGCCATGTGCCCGAGCTGCCTTGGGAGATGGCTGGTAGGAGCAGCTGGAGGCGGAGTGGCGGCCCTCTGAGCCAGGGCTGTTAGGGAGCGTCCGGTGCCGGTCACTGCTCTCATCCTCTCCCTGCACCAGGCTCAGGGAGATGGCCTGCCGCGTGGCATAGGTGCAGTTGGGTAGGGGGCTGTTCTTTGGAATCCTCACCTTGTCCTCAGAGAACTCAATCACCTTGCGCCCTGGGTACATGGGGTGGGGAGGGGAGGGAGTGGGGTAGGGGCTCAGCTTCTCAAAGGCTGGCACCTCCTCTGACAGGCTCTCCACACTGCTCTGTGGCTTGCAACCCCCACTTTGCTGCTTCCCCACCTCCCCTCTCTCCTTCCCTGGCAGCCCCGGGCTGGGGCAGGCATCTGGCAGAGCTCCACTCATATCCACGTGCACAAAGACGTCCTCAGCCATGGGGCAGCTGCCGCTGCTGGACTTCGCTGAGTTCAGGACCAGTGACTCTGGCTTCTCCAAGACTCTGGCAATAACTGAAGTGGGCACGACATCGGATGGGGCTAGGGTATGTGCAGCATCCTGCCCAGGGCCTGGGGACCCCTGGGTGCTGTGCAGGTGCTTATTGACCATGTCCTGCAGCTCATAGGGAAGCTAGGGAGAAAGCAAGAGAGCATTAAGCAGGATCTCAAATGGCCCCTCAGCAGAGCCAGGAGAGACCGGGAAAGAGCCACAAGCAGCACTTGGGACCCTGCTCCACCCAGCCCTAGCAAACACCCCACACTTGCCTTACCCCTAACGTCCACAACTGCTCCCCATCGCCTGGGTATGGGCCAGCCACTGGCATGTCGCCCTCCCCATCCTCAGAATAGGCCAGCCCCACAGGAGGACTTAGAACTTTCCCAGCTCTAACTTCCGGCTGCAGGATGCTGCTGTTCTCAGAGCACAGGGGCCTGCCCCACGCCTGACCGAAGGGCCCCATTCGGAAGAGGGAGCGAGGGAAGACTGCTCACAAGCCTTAGGCCTATGGCTTATGAGTGTGGAGCTGAGGCCTAGCTGGGGTATGCTAGGCTAAGGGGCTATTGATCTGTGGAAAAATCAGCTGGTGGTTGCACAGAAGTGACTGAAAAGCCCCCACTGACAGGATCTGCAGCTCCCAGGGAGCACACAGTAATTACAACCCCACTGCCTTGGCAGCTTGCCCTGGGAGCAGTATTGATGACTGGGCTTCCACTTGCCAGTTGCTCTGCCTGACCCAGCTGTCTCACTGGGGCATTAGTAGCTGGGACAGAGCTTTGGGGACCCACCACCACCACCACTTCACTGAGGGTTTAGCTCAGGCTTGGGCAAAATACAGCCCACAGGCTGGATCCAGCCTGTGGATGCTGCAGGGAGCCCCAGGCAGGCTTCCTGCTTGCCTCGCCCCACCCGCATTTCACTTTAAAAATTCATCCCAGAGGGGAGAGGCAGAAAGCCT